AGCATGGACTATCGTCCTGAACCTAGCCTGTAGACTTCTGACTGATTTTGGTTCCGTACGTGAGTTCTAGAGCCACTATTAGTACTCTATAGTTGTGCCTGTCATTTGCTGACAACTGTCCAAGTATTTCCAGTGGTTGTCCTTTCAAGCTCGTTGCCATATATACTGCTTTCTGCTCCTCTGTTTATCCATTCATTACTGCCAGTAGCTCAAATTGTGCTCTATATGCTTCCCACGGTGCTTTCCCATCGCATTCCTGTGGGTTCCTTCGTACTGGATCACTCCTAGTACTGACATTCATATCTGGGATGTGACTTCTAACGGGACTGAATATGTCTGCATTAGGGTTTAGCTGCGGGGTTTGGAAGGGGCTTGCCATTGTCTGGGGCTGATTAAGTCGATGTTTAATGTATCCTCCTTGTGTAAAAGACAATAAATCATCCTTTAATGTATCTAATTCGCTTTTAGATTTTCTAATGTTTTCCATTTGTACTTCTTGCCACTGTTGCTGCTGACTTTCCTGCAACTGTTGGATACTTTCGTCCTGTTTCCTTTCTTGTTCTAGTTGCCACTGATGTAATCTCTCTTCTTGTTTCTTTTGCTGTTCGAGCTGCCACTGTTGCAGGTTTTCTTGCCACTGCTGTTGTCTCTCTTCTTGTTTCTTTTCTTTTTCTTCCAACAACTGCTGTAATTTATCTTCTTGTTTCTTTTCTTTTTCCTTCAACAACTTCTGTAATTTCTCTTCTTGTTTCTTTTCTCGTTCTTCTTGTTTCTTTTCTTGTTTATTTTCCCGTTCTTCTTGTTTCTTTTGCTGCTCTTGTATTGCTGCCATCAAGTCTGCTAAGCTGTAGTTTGATTTGCCGCTTCTCATTTCCATTTTTTTCCATCCCACTTCTGACACCAATTTGTTACGTCTCCGTTCGTTAGTTAATTTTCCGTAAATTCGTTCCGACGAAACTTTAGCGACACAAGTCCTTTCTTAATAAAACTGGTTTATTCTTTCTGAATATAACTTTACGATACACTTAATTTCAACAGTCGCGCTATAATTCTCAACGAACGTCTCACGTGCTTGACTTCAACAATACTCAGTTCAATTACACATACATTCAATTACTCATTAACTCCCCGTCGCTTCGTGGCCGGTCTTTTATATACAAGATTACACTATATCTAGATGGATCCCAAGATTTAAGTAAAGGACGTGAATGTTCGAGAACGACGTGGTGTGATACTAGTCACGTGACCTCGCTGACGCAACAATATAAATTAACAGATCTTAAACTACTCCTATAAGATAACATTCCATCCGCGGTATTATCCTAGTAGCTCTCCTCTATATATTTTCTTAAATAGGAAGACGAAAACCGTAAACAGTATTCTGACTAATGATTTTTATAGAGATAGCGACCTCTTTTGACTCGTAAACAATATGTCAATAAATACACCTTAAAACCTTTTATATTTACTAATACTGACACAGTACTACTTTAATATGTGTGGTACAGTACAATATCGTATGTTAGCTACTCTCATAGAGATATGCAATTTTTTCGAAAATTCTATTCACCCCTCTAACGTTTAAAAGCGTAGCAAAAGAGAACCTGAACCAGACCATTTATTAAGGCAATTCGAGCAAGTCATTTCCTGGAACGGATGGTCTCGGGAAGGGGAGATTCAATGCCTAGCTGTGACTTTTGATGATCTGCCCCTCGATGCCGTTGAGTAACTGATTGAAGTGCAGCTTGGACACAGTTATAGCTGAGCTGTGCCAATGATTTGATCCACTGGAAAACCGAGCAGTCCACATGGTTGAGTTCAATACGGCATTTCGAGAGTACTTTATAATCTCCCGTGATGATGGTCAAGAAGAATGATGGTATGGGGAGATTTTTGTTGATATACATACAGCGAATGCTGTGACGAGCATTGATGCATTTCCATTCCCGTGAACAGATGAATGGAAGGTGCTAAATGGTTCAATGCTCTATATCTGGCTTCTAGATACTGACAAATCAAGCTAGATGACGAAAGCAGGGTCAAAACTACCTTTAGCACTGGAAATGGTTTGTTGGAATTCTGAGTCATGCCATTCTGCCCACGTAACGCTACAACTATGTTTGAGAGGTGGATGGAGCTTATGCTTAAAGGACTACAACTGTCTTTAGTCTTGTATTTAGTCAAACATTCGAACTCCAAAGTTTTGCACCAGATAAGAATGGCTGGATTGAAGTTGAAACCCAGATAGTGTGTGATAATACACACAGAAGTAGAATTTGTCGGCCATATTGTGGGTAGAAAAGGTACCTCGGTGGATCCGTTGAAGATTGCAGTATTCAAGTTGGGCCAAAATGAGGGAAAAAATAAGGAATGTGTAATTTCTTTGGGTTTGTATTATGTTATCCTCGATTTATGGGCAATTTCTCCAAGATTGCTACTTCAATATCCGCCCTTACTAAAGCTGATGCACTTTTCATTATTGTCCTTGAAGTGTGCTTCAGTAGAAGCTTCCTTACTCACGTATTCATGACAATATTATTAGTTCCTGATGAATACTGATGTCGGTGATAGTGGCAGTGGCGTAGCAAGAGGGGGGGCAAAGGGGCAGTTGCCCTCGGGTACAGGTGTGAAGGGGCGCATAATTTCCTCTGGCCTATAATTCCTATTAGTTAATTATTATGCCCTCCCCCTAAGATATAGTGCAACTGCCCTACGTTAAGAAAATACGACACAGTGTTACGTTATTTGTGTGTATATAACAACAGTTATTACTTTTTTGGTATAATTGAAGC